AATGTATCCCAGCTGGGTACCCCAAAACACACGCCTCGCTTGTACTCCAGGCACAAACAAGACCAACCTATTCTACTCCTGTCAAGGGGTCAAGGTCTCCGTCCAAACTTGAACTCCAAGCCCCCAACACCTGAGACCCAGTCTCAGTATGATACTTAAACCTCCACCTAATATCCACCCCTAAAAGTCGGCCCGTAAAGAGCCGGAACCCATGACAAGAGCGTAACGAGATTTTCTGCTCCCATAAGCAAGTGTGTGCTCAGGATAATAAGTCTGTGACCTGACTACCATTCACAGCAACGGACGGTCCTCAATCAACATAGGCGAAACAAATGCAACCAAGGCCTCGCTCGGTTGCCTAACCAAATCCAAATCCAAAGCATAGTCCCGCCCAGTTTCCAATTATCATCCATATATATTCCATATGATAGTTATATGATAATAAGAACAATGATATCTTTCCTATCTCTCACGAGTGACAAGTAATCACTCGACTTCTACCGGAATCCTTTAGCATAGCAATCTACATAATCCTAACATACTAGTAGGACTCATAGGATAAGGATATATATATGCAAGTGGTTTTCATTCAACTCCTTAAAACTTAATGCACAAGCATAAAATAAAGTGCAGAATAATAGTGGTTCTGCATCGGGGCTTGTCTGGGCAAGATATAACCAAGGATTTGGATTCCACCGTGGCGACACGATCACCAAGGCACCATCCTCCTGCTACTCTGATCGACTCCAGATCCATCATTTTTCTATTATGATATTCGTAGATGCAGCGCAGAAAACGTAATTAACCAATGACAACCGCATCTCTAAAAACACTATTACGCTTCGCAAGCTAACGAGCTAGCTCTAATGACTAACGTACTAGTCTACATATCCACGTCATCAAGTAAGGCTTCGTTTTCGGAAAATGTTTTAGTTCTACAATCCCAAGGTATTTCGGCATTTTATTGATTAAATATATATTTTCGAACTAGGGCTCATTTAGCTACCCTAGCAACTAATTATTATGGAGCTACAAAATTACAATGAGCACCTATTAATGTTAGGAAATTTCTAAAAAAATCCAGAGCCAACACTACTACCAATTCCTTACAATAATTCCTACAAGTTGATGTTTTAACAATATTAAGTGCTTCCAATTAATTAGATTACTCTTGAAATTTCTATGAAACTATGTGAACAAAATACACTAACTGGTAGATCATGATTTTAGGAACTAGACAAAATTGGTTTCACAATTTTTGGTCAACTACACAAATTTCTATTGAATTTACAAGTTTACTTTAGAAACTAATTAGAAAATGCTTTAGAAAAAGAAAAGGCCCGGCAGCAACCCATTCTGCCCAGCAGCCCAGCGCGGGTCATGGCCGCATGTGTGTCGCGATAGCCAGCGTGGCCTAAGGCCAGGATGCCCACGTGCGCGTTTGCAAAAGAGGGCTCAAGTTTTTGGAAAATCACGTGGAGCAACGGAGCACTATTACTATAGACTCACGCTTTGCATTAAAGACCCTGGAATGTATTGCCTTTGCAATGGGGCGGTCCTCGACGTACCCGCGTGCGGCACACCGATGGCAACGGCGGTTACGCTGGGCAAGCTAGACCCACTATGACAGTAATAATGGGCCGAACACCATCTACGGCTAAACCCACACGCATGGGTGGCAGTTAGGGACTCAACGGCGCACTGACGCGAGCGGAGGTGGCGCGCTTGTTCTGACGAACCTACGTACGCTCAGCAAAGTAGAGGTGGCGGATAAGCATCTGTGGCTCACCGTGGTGCACGCCCCACTAACGATTGAAGCAGGGGAGTGTTGTGGCGGTCTGGCCACGTGCGCCCGCGCCTTGCAGCGCCGCTCCGAGCGCGGCACCGACGCGTCCACACTCCGTTGTCGAGCATCCTGGCCAAAGTAACGCAAGCACCGGATGTAGAAAGTCAAGGCGAGCTCAGGGTTACGCGTAATTGAATTGCTACCATTCCTACTTGCCTTACCTCCCAACCCACCGGTTCGGCGGCGTACAAGACCGGCGGTGGCAAAAAATGCAAAATTGGCCGCAGGCAGGCAACGACTGGACTTGGTGGGAATGGGGCGCCTAGCTGACTCCCTTTGCTACCTGCTGACGCGAGGAATTGGACTGAGAAGCTTTGAGCTGTAGGTTATGAAGGGGAAAGGATAGCGGTGCACCGCCACCGCCACGCCACGGGGAACGACCCCGGCAGAATTGGTCCGGCCACGACCCGAAGAGGCACGGTGGCGGGGATATGACCACACGAGCGAGCGACGTGTCGATTAGCGTTTGGATGTAGCCATTGAAGGTGTGCCCGCATGCGGCCACGCGCGCAACAGCAGCATGGTGTCGCGATATGGCAGGAGGCGGTGCGAGTAGGAGCGAGGTAGGTGAGGTGAGCAGCTGTGAACACGCGCTACAGGGTGGGGCAAGGTGATAGGAAAGGCGACATGCAGCCCTGTGCGTGACTTGGCAGTACGTGCGCACGGCGTGGGGCGGTGGCGGCCAATCCTGGCCTGGCGCGCAATCGGTCGACCACCAGGGCTGGTCCGTGGGACTTGGCCACGGCGAGGCTAAGGCGTTGCGCGGAACGAAGCGACACGAGACAACGGCATGCGAACTGACCAGCGGCAGCCACCTGGCCATGACCCGAGCTCGTCATCGGCAGCACACTCGCGCGCATGGTGATCGCGGCCTTAGGTCAAGAAACTAGGAACAATGCCATGCACGCTTTTTAAAGTGGGCCAAAAACTGCTCACTAATTCAACGAAGGCTCAACCAATTCCATGAACCTAAGGTCAACACTACCAGCTAGCTAGCGAAGCAATTGTCATGACCAGGGAGCAACCAGAGAGGGAGTGAGAGGAATGCCAACATAAGCTCATCGCGCTGAACGTCAATTCACGAACAGAGCGCCAACAACATGACTTTGACACATTTTAACGAAGTTTGGGAAATTTTACGAAGGTATTGTGACACCCAACACCACTACCACTTAAGCCATGCTCAAGTACTCGCCTAGAGGCAACCAACAATACAAGAACATGAAGTCGGTGTTTAAACAATTTTGTTAGAATTTGAATGTCAAAACGGCATTGTCTACTATCATTTTCAGATTTAGAAAAGGGGCAAGGCCCGGTTAGGACTAACAACCATTTGCGCTTTCGTCACAATTTTTAATATGTCTAAACCTTATTAATTTCATCCAATAAACATTTCATGTAATAGTCCATACTTTATACTAAACCATAGGAGCAAAAACATTTAAGCATCCTTTTACTATTTTACTCAGTATAAATCACCAAAAATGGCATTTGAAACATAAGTTCAATTTCTTGTCGATTCAACGGAAAGTTCTAGTTTAAATTTTGGAATCGATTTTTGAGCTCCCAAAAACCCTAGTTAACAATATTCACTTGCCAAAAATGAAAGTTGTATTCTTATCTATACTATTTGCTCACCATTTTTACATAAACACTATATACAAGTTATATCTTGTTTCTATTTGCAGAAATTATTTCATGTGTGTTTTTACTTGTTAAAGTTTGAAAACTCGTTCAGCTTGATTTATCTGACGCCTTAACCTAGGCGCTAGCAAGTTCGTAACACCAGAGGTGTTACAATAAAACACCAGAAAAAACATCTGAAACCATTGTAAACTACACAACATCCAAATAAAACGAACGCAACATATGTATGAAACATATGTGTGGAATATATGCAACATCCTGATAAACACATTTGCAACATACGACTGATGAAACATTGAGAACAGAAGCTTGCAATATATGTGTACAACCATTGCAACATATGCAACATCTCGATCTACTTTTGCAACATCCATATAAAACACTTGTAACATACATATTAAACATCTGAAACACTTGAAATATGTGTTTTGCAACATAGGGGAGGCCCGAGTCGGAGCCGGCAGCGAGCGGTGGTGCACGAGCCCCACCACCACCAGCACCGGCTTTGGCTCAGTTAGGCGGGCGGCGCGCGCAACGGGCAGGAGGGAGCGAGCGAACAGCGCGGCAACAGCGAGACGAAGTGGGCGCACGACGTCCGGACGAGAGAGACGCATGCCTCCTATCATTACCCATTTAGTTTTCTCTTCTTTGTCCTACAATCCAAAGAGGGCTAAACATTTTTGCAAGTTGATGAACCGTGTAAATGTTTCAAAAATCAAACATACTAAAAAGAGTGTAATTCTCGCTCTTCGAAAAGCCCAAAAAATGTCGACTAAATCTATTAAAAATAAAAATACTAATATTTACTATACGAACAAATATTATTATATTACTCCATCCATCCAACAAAGAACGTAATTCTAGCTTTGAACCTAAACACAGTTGGACAACGGGAGTAGTTATGAAATATATTTTGTCAATAAATATATCTAGAGATATAAATGCTGATACTTTTTTTATATAAATTTGATAAAAATAGAATAATTATCATTATATTATAGAATATATTTAACCTAGAATTGCACTAAAATTTGAGCACGGAGATGATCGCATGGCGTCGGCATCAGTCAGTCACAGTATTATGTGAGGTGGTGACGGGACGGGTGTCGGGTGGTATCTTGTGTGGGTGTGGCATTCAGGCAGCACACAGGACTAGGGCAACGGCCCTCCCCACCGACGTGCCGGCAACGGCCGCTTCTTGGTTTCAACCTGGCTTACCGGTCGTTACAGTGTTTCCCTCTGCCAACAAACTGGCAGCAGTCGGTTTATCAGCCCGGAAACTAAAAGCGAACCGTCTGAATCAGCGCGGTTGACACGGGCCGGATCCCCGGCGCCGTCCGAGAATAGAAAGACAATCCATGATCCGATCGAGATGGAATGAATGCACAACTCAACACCACTTCCATTCCATTGCAAAAGTATCGCAGAGAAGAACACAAACAAAGAGGCACCCTTTTGGTTCGGGTCGGCCACTCCACTCATCAGTCCAGCACACCTGCTAGGCTAGCTAGCAGCTCTTGGGCACCAGGGCGACGCGCTGCTTGTCGCCGTCGAACACGACGCGGAACCCCTGTTGCTGGATGTTGCCCACGATGGAGACGCCGCCGTCGGTGCCAGCCAGCGCCAGGCAGAACGTGCCCCGCGTGTCCACGGGGATCAGGTAGTTCTCCGGCGGCAGCGCCACCTCCGCGCCGCTCGCCAGGTGCACCGACACCGTCGGCACCTTCACCACCCGCCTCCCACGCAGGTCGTAGCACGTGTCGAACAGCGAGAACCCGCCGGGGGCCAGCCGGAGCCCGCCCGCGGCCGCCCGGAACGCCTCCCGCACGGCCGCGTACACGGGCCGCGCCAGCCGCGTCACCGACGTGCCCGAGTCCAGGATCACGCCGCCGCGCCCGGTGGACGGGTCCAGACGGAGGTCGCGCTCGCGCACGCCGCGGACGCGAGCGCCGCCCACGCTGAACCCCACCACGCGCACGTAGTAGAACGTCGCCATCCTGGGGTTGCTCACCATCGGGGTGAACGACGCGCGGCCGGGAACGGCGCCCGCGCCGAAGGTCAGCGTGGACGAGCGGGGCGCGGACGACGGGTGGTTCAGCGACGACGACGAGGTGCGGTCCACCAGGCAGTAGGAGAAGCTGCGGCCGTAGCGGCGCGCCGTCTGGGTGGGCAGCGACAGCCGGCCGCGGCCGAGGCCCAGCAGCCCCGCGGAGGCCACGAACAGGCCCTCGTTGTCGTGCCCGCAACCGACGGCGACGCGCGGCACCCGCGCGCCCCGCCCGAACGACAGCGTCTCCGTGGCCAGGTCCCCCGCCGTGACGGACCCGTCCCCGTAGGCGACCTGGTACAGGCACGTCCCGCGCCGCCGGTCGCAGCCGCCGCCGCCCCCGGCGTCGAGGCCGCGGCAGGGCGGCGCGCCGCAGGGGACGGCGGCGTACGACCGGGACCGCCGCGGGTCGAACACCCTGCCCGACTGCGCGTAGCACCGCCGGCACGGCTCGCACTGCAGCCACACCACGTCGCTGCCGGTGTCCAGCACCAGGAGCGCGGGCGTCGGCGGCGTGCCCACGCCCACCGAAGCGAAGTACTCGCCGCTGCCCAGCGCCAGGCCGGACACCACGGGCGCCGTGAACCCGGCACCGGCGGCGCCGCCGCGCGTCACGTTCCTCGCGGCCGCCGCGGGCACGGACACGGACACGGACACGGAGATCGCCTCGGCGCGCGCGGCGTCGCGCGCCAGGCGTTGCGCCAGGAGCTCGGCCGCCGTGGCGTTGGGCGCCGCGAACGCCTCGCGGTGGGCGACGAGCAGGCGGACGGTGGAGGCGTTGCCGGTGTCGTGCGGGTCCAGCTCCAAGATGGATGCTTCGTCTGAGGCGGTGGCGAAGAGAGGCTGCGCGGCGTCGGCTCGTGCGATGGGGTCGGGGGAGAGCGGGGTGGCGCGGAGCCTGTGGTGCCGGTACCGCGCGGGCGGCTTGGACTTGGAGAGAGCAGCGGTGGAAGTGGAACGAGGCAGTACCAGGAGAAGGAAGAGAAGGGAGCAGATGGGTGCCATGGCGTGGCGCCGAGGTGTGAGAGACAGAGTCACGTAGCAGCAACGGCAGAAGAAGAAGGCGGCGAGGAGTAACGGGCGCGGCGAGGTGGTCAGGTCAGGTTCAGGAGGTGAGCATGCGTGATGGGTCCTCCTCCTCTCCCTCCCCGTGGTGGCAGTGGCCGGTGTGGGTGGGTGGGTGGTACGTGGAGAGGCGTGGTCGCTCCCGGGAATAAATGTTGCTTAGCCAGAGCCGGCCCAACACCCGGCTGCCCGGCGGCACCGGCAGTCGCCAGAGACCTCCGTGGAGGAGACACGCAGACACCGCCGCTGTAGGCTGCCCTGTAGCGTGGATCAGCGTCGGCGTAGGCGGACACCGACGCCCCCAATCACATCGCTACAGTACGTCAGATCAAAAATTGCCGCGCTCTAGTGAAAATATAATTTCACTTTTATACCAAGTTAACCAAATATAAAAATAATATTATTTATGATACCAAATAATTATAATTAAATTCATTATAAAATATGTTTCAGATAATATCAATTAAACTCATAAATATTAATATTATTTGGTACAAACTCAATTAAATTTAATCACTCAATTTAAATCTAGATTTCTTTTGTTCTTTTTTGAACGGAGTATGTAAGACCTGCTTGGACGAGGTTGTGTAGCTCATGTATCCATGAAAAATAGCTCCACATCTACTTTTGCAAGCAAAATACCTGGGTGGTGTTTGGTTGCCCCTCCTAAATTTTAGTCGTTGTCTTATCGAATGTTTGGACACATGTATGGAGTATTAAATATAGACTAATTACGAAACTAATTGTATAGTTTACGACTAATTTGCGAGACGAATCTTTTAAGCCTAATTAGTCCATGATTCGACAATATGGTGCTACATTAACATGTGCTAATGACGGATTAATTAGGCTTAAAAAATTCATCTCATGGGTATTAACGGATTATGTAATTTATTTTTTTATTAGTATTTGAGCACTCCATGCAACATCCTCCCAACACACCTCCTAAATTTTAGTCACTGGATCCAAACACCACCTTATATATCTACATAGGTCCACCATAAAAGCACTACAAAATCCATGGATCCGCTCTCCCATGTCCATGTTGTGGACCACTTAAAAAATGCTAAGCAACTCCAGCAGAACCCCTACTTAGCCCCCATAGCTAAATATGGGGGCTCAAGTCAAAAAACGAGGTCCAGTAGAGCCCGTACTAGAGCCTCAAAATTTTTGTGGGCACCCAAATCCTCCCCTCAGACCCCATTCCAGTTGGCCTAACAACCCAGCCCCCATTCCTGCCTCCCCGCGTTCGTCCCGAACCACAAAGACACGGCGGCGCCTCCTTGCACGCAGGCACGAAGCAGGAGGTCCGGGCGGCGACGGCTTCACCCACGCGGCTCCTTCTGTCCCGCATCTCCTTCTCTCCCCTCTGGCATGGATCTCGCGGCTTCCTCCCTCCCCTCCGGCACGCTGGGTGGATCTGCCGGCGGCCTCATCCATCGGCTCGAGCATCGCCCGACCATGGCTCACCGTCCCCCGGAGCTCCCCCCTACTCCCCGCCCGGATCTCCTCTCTGCTCACCGCCCGAAGCTCCACCGACACTCCCTTAGCCATGGCTCGCCGTCCCGTAGCCCAGGCTCGAGCACTCACCTGCGGTCGTTGCGCCGCCCGTGCCTCCTCTCTCGGGCGGCGGCGGCTTCACTCACCGCCGGTTCTTTCCCCTCCCTGGGTCTGGCACGCTTCACCCACCGCTGGTTCTTTCCCCTCCCTGGGCTCGGCACACTTCACCCACTATCGCTAGGCCCGGCACCGCTCGAGGCCAAGTCCGTGCGGCTCGTCGAGCCTCTCCCCTGCGCATTGGGATAGTTAAGATGGTGAAAGATTGAAGATGACAAGTGGGCCCCGATGTTCAGTGTCTATTAAGAGAATTTGGAGGCTTATGCGGGAGCAAATGCAAAATAGAGGGCAAACAAAAATAGGGGCAAGCACCCAACTAAAAAAAGGAGGCCCTGATTTAGGGTCTAATGCTAGAGTTGCTCTAAAAACTTAAGTTTGGTGGAGTCAGACGAAATTACCCGCCACTGCCGCTCCTTAGCTACGTTTCACTTTGAACCTGTACCTTCTTTTGTTTCTTTCTCCATAGCAGCCTCGTCGCGAAGGTCACCCGCCCCGCCGGCTAGCAGTCCCGCCCATGCCGTGCGTTGTGGTGCCGATCATCACTTCCTCGTCGGTCGCGTCGTCCTCCGCCCCTCCCCCAGCATGACGAGACCTGCCCCGTCCTTCCCACCAGTAGCTCGAGCCTCGAGCCACACCTGCGGCCGCATGCATAGGCCCCCGCTGCCTGCTAGTTGTCCCGTCCACTCCGATGTGCCCTCGTAGGAATGGGAGGAAAGAGGGGATGAAGAGCTGACGCGCAAACGTAGGTGGCAATGATATTCAGCTTATTTTTTTAATCGAAATAGTATTTTTCTCTCACAATAATTCAGTTAGAACAATGTTTTTCAGCCAGTTTTAGCTAAGATTCAGCAAGCCGAACGGAAGGAAGGAAACTTAGGGCTAGAACTGTAACAAATACTTTACTGGTGATCTAGTGGATCTGGTGATTTTTGGATCTGTTTTTCCAGAATTGGAGCTCTCCTGAACAGGCTTACACAACACATCTGGTCGGTCCTGAGTCCTGGCTTTGCCTCTTTCGATCTTTGTATTGGATGGGACGGTGGTGGTGTTCTTTTTTGCTGGAGGGTCCGGAAGGCTTTGGCTTCCTCTTCTTAACGCAGAGATCTGATATTGACTTGAAAAGCAATTGAGATGATCCCAGATCAAACGTGCTGTAATGATAACATAGCTTAGTTGGATAGATTATCTTGTAGCGGGACTTCCATAGGGTTCAATAGATTTGGCACGCGGTGCTGTTCGTTTAGTGATAGATGACGTGGCAACGATAATACAGTAATGTCAGGATCTGTCGTCTCTGTTTCTAAGATGCACTCATCACAAGAGTAGGGCCTTATTTAGATGATGGTTGAGAATCAGTATTTGGCACTGTATCATTTTTGTTTGTATTTGACAATTATTATCCAATCATGGCCTCCTAACTAGGCTCAAAAGATTCGTCTCGTAATTTACAATCAAACTGTGTAATTAGTTATTTTTTTATCTACATTTAATATTTCATGCATGTGTCCAAAGATTTAATATGATGGAGAGAGAGTGAAAAAACTTAGAATCTAAACAAGGCCTAGTGTGCATTTGCATCTATACCAAATTTAGAAAATAATAAGTTTACGAGGATCTTCAATTTGGCAGGAGGTGTCATCTAGTCTTCTCATCTTATGAAATGCTATTTTGAATACTTAAGCTTGGCTCGGAGTTTCTTTTAGGTCCCCAACTCAATAAATACCATTTTCATGACCTCAAAATTGGTTCAAGGTGTCATTCGGATGCAAATAGATTCCACAATGTCATGTCATGATGTGCTTTGACATAGATCCATCATGTGAGAAGCCTACATTCTACATCCATATCTGTTCTCTCTTCTTCGTCTCTCCTCTTTCTTTATGTCATCTCTCTTGCGATGGATATACAACATTTGGGCACTCTATTATTGAAAAACAACTATGTTATAAAAAATGCTCCGACACTCCTTTTTCTTTTGTTCCTTGTTTGCCGCGCTCTCCTTTTCCCTCCACGTGCCTGTCCACCTTGTAGTAGCAGCTCCTACTAAGACCCAACCTTCATCCGTCGCCAGAGGGGTAGAGAAGAGGTGAACCTGAATGTGGGCCACACATACTGGTCCACGTCAACGCACAGTCAACATTGGCACATCAACACAAGGAGTGAGTTTAGACCTATTTGAACTAAGATGGCACCTAGAGCCAAGTGTAAGGACCTAACAATGGCATTTCCTAAGTTATAGAGATGACACTGGGAGCCAAGTTTAGAGACCTAAAAATATGATATATTTTTTAGTTGGGGGCCGGAATTACCAAGTTCGAGGATTAATTTTATTATTTAAAAATAAAAGGTTAATGTAAATTATGAATTATCAATCTTCTATTGGTGGTATGTGTAAGAAAAAACATTTGTGTAGTGGATGACCGTGGGATAGGTGTTATGAAATGAGAGTCCATCTTTCGTTCCTTTCACTAGAAAAAGGGGCACGGCGTTGTCGCACCAACATGCATATAGTGGATTGGACCAGTGTTTAATTTGTGTTTGCCTCTCAAGGGATTGTCATGAGATAGGTATTAATCGTCGTGTACAACGTAGGTTCATACTCTCTACGTCTCAAATTATCTGTCGTTTTTGGTTTTCGTGACGCAAGTTTGACTCGATTTGTAGAAAATACGTGTAATATTTGTATCTTCAAATAAATTTATTAAAAGCAAGATTCAAAATATCTTTCCAATGATACCAATTATGTACCATAAATATTAATATTTTTTAATATATATTTTGTCAAAGTTGTTTCTCGGGAAGCAAAAACGACAGATATTTTGGGACGGAGGGAGTATTTTGCACAGATGTTTGCACGGTGGCGTTTTTTTTTCTAGTTGTATGAAACCAAGAAATACCATAAGGTAGCAGAAGCAGTGTTATTGTGGAGACAACGGACGACCATGCTACACTGATTAAGTATGTCTTTAACAAATCATCAATTGGCCGGAGAAAAGGGACCATGCTTAAATGTTCACAACTTCTGAGTGTTATACACTGGATATGACTTAGTACATGGGTGCAAGCAGACTTAAACACTCATACAATAATAATCGCGTGAATCATTAGAGACAGGGAGATACGTGAGGACGATAAGAATCAAGAATTACATATAGTTTTTTCAGAAGGCTCAAATGCATGTTAATCTTATCTGCTAAGGTGAGAACCTGAATTATATAAGAAATATTTCAGAGAACCCTGGAGCAATTCTTGTCCAGTTTTAGTGATGCTGCTGCAGAAAGCGTATCCGTGCAAGCACATGGAAGAGCATAAGCTAATGATGA